CCGCCTGGGCCACAGTGCACAGTGGTCAGTGGCGGGAGGCCTCGAACGCAGAGTCCCACCTCAGGCCGTCCGGGGGCCTCGGACCCAGTCCACCTCCCAGAGAACTCGGAGACCTTCCCTTCCCCCCTCCAGTCCCCCTCTCCCCGCTCGGCCCACTTCTCCCGCAGAGCCAAGCCTGGGACGGCCTCGGCCCAGACACCTCCTCTGGGCGGGCTCCTATCCAGCCCGCGAGGCCCGGCCCAGCTTCCCAGCCACCCAACCCGGCACCTGGCGTCGCCCGGACCTCTGCTTCTGGGGATTATCCATTTCTGCTTCCGCCACTCCCGCCGGCCTGAAACGCAACTTCAGCGCCCAGACTCTGCCTGGAGTCAGTCGACAGCTAGGCCTGCAGTGAAGGTTGCAGGAGTGCACAACCAAACGCAGGAGGCTAGGGTTTCCCAGCAGCCCTGGAAGCCGGTGAGCTCAGAACACCTGCCCATGAATTTGCTGGTCCCTACGTCAGAGTTCTGCCCTTGCAGTTCCTGCAGGGCAGGAAGGTGCGCTTCCTTCTCAAGCCTGCCCCTCGGCTCTAACTCCTCAGGGCTCCTTCACATCATTTAGGTCTCAGCTCAAATGTCCCCTCCCTGGCCATGAGAAAGTAGCCTACCTGCAGGTCTCTGTCACATCCCTGGGTTGTATTTTCATTATAGCACTAACCACTTATAAGAAAAGCTTCCCTACGCTCATGCTTTTATTTCCTGTTTATTATGTCTCCCCCATTAACTTTTATTCAGTTAATAATAGAAACCATGGGCTTCCCTGGTGGCGCAGTGGTTAAGAATCCACCTGCCAATGCAGGGGGCATGGGTTTGAGCCCTGGTCGGGGAAGTTCCCACATGCCGCAGAGCAACTAAGCCAGTGTGCCACAACTACTGAGCCCGCGAGCCACAACTATTGAAGCCTGCACGCCTAGAGCCCATGCTCTGCAGCAAGAGAAGCCACCACAATGAGAAGCCCGTGCACCGCAATGAAGAGTAGCCCCCGCTCGACACAACTAGAGAAAGCCTGCCCACAGCAAGGAAGACCCAAGGCAGCCGAAAAATAAAACAAATAAAAATTTAAAAAGTAATAGCAACCATAATAAATGTGTTAGAAGGCAATAAATTTTGTGGAAAATATAGAGCAGGGGCAAGGAGACTGGGAGTTGGGGCAGTAGGGCGGTTGCAATTTTCAAAAGAATGGTCAAGGTAGGGCTCACTGAGAAGGTGACATTTGGGAAATACTTGAAGAGAATGAGGGAGCCAGTCGTGCCAAAATCTGGAGGAAGAGTATTCCAGGCAGGTGGAACAGCTAGTGCAACGGCCCAGAGGCCTGTTGTGTTGAGGAACTGCAAGGGTGGGGGGGAGGGGGGCAGGGAGGAGCAGCAGGAGGTGGGGTCAGAATGTGTGGCCTGGGGCTCTGTAAACCTGTGAGGGCTGTTACTCCAGGCTGAAATGAACATGGTCTTGAGCTATGTTTTAAAGCAGCGGTCCCCAACCTTTTTGTCACCAGGGGCCGGTTTCGTGGAAGACAATTTATCCACGGAAGTGGGGAGGGGGGGCGGTGGGGGCTGGTCAGGCGGTGATGCGAGCGGGGGGGGGGGTGTGGGGGGGTGGGGAGGGGGGGGGGGGGGGGGGGGGGGGGGGGGGGGCGGCAGATGAAGCCTCACATGCTTGCCCGCCGCTCACCTCCTGCTGTGCGTCCTGGTTCCTAACAGCTCGTAGACCGATACCGGTCTGTCTGCGGCCTGAGGGTTGAGGACCCCTGTTTTAAAGGATTTCTCTGGCTGCTAAGGAGAGAATAAATGTGGGTGGAAGCAGACCGGTGAGGAGGCTGCTGGAGTAATACAGGCAAGATGTGATGGGGGCTGGGAGAGTAGAGAGAGGTGGCCAGATTCAGGATGGGTTTTGAAGGTAGAGAGTGCAAGGTTTGCAGAGAGGTTGGATGTAGGGAGTGAGGTAAAGAGGAGAGGGAGTGAGGGAAAAAGGAGGCAAGGAGGACTCGAACGTTTTGGCCTGAGCACCTGGAAGGAGAGTTGCCATTACCTGAAACATGGAAGTGGCAGGTGTCTGGGGCCAGTTATGTTTGAGATGCCCAGTGATCATCCAAGTGAAGGTGCCAAGAATAAAGTGCTTGGTACCTAGCGGTTGCTCAATAAGTATTTGATGAATGAAAGAGGAAGGAATATGCAAAGTGCCTGGATAAGAATAATGGGTGGTCCAAGTGTCAGGCAGGGAATGAGAGTCTCCTGGCTTTTAAGGAGCTGTGTCCTCCACCTGGTTTGCTTTCTCCCACCCATCCTCCTCGTGGTGCCTATTCATCTGCCACTACTGTTTTTGAGCGGCTTACTACGGGCCCTGCTTCAGGGCATTCTCCCATTTTTCTTAAAAAAGCCCCCAGCAGGTATTCACGCCACAGCTATTTGTTGAGCATTATCTACAGAGCACTATCCTCGCCTTCAGGGAACCCAGCAGAGGTGAAAGGACTAGCTTCACGTGAAGCCGCGGTTGGCTCGTGCCTGCCTCAGGGGCGCGCAGAGCCGGAGCTCGAAGGAGGTGAGGCTTGGGGAGGTTCCGAGGGCTTACTGCGCCGGTAGAGGGCGAGGCAGGACGTTGCTAGGGGGATTCTGTTAGGTCTTCCGGGGAAGGTTAGGCGCAGTGAGGCCCCGCCCCTCTGGAACGTCGGAAGCGAATCAGGTGACTGCGGTGGTGGCTGGTTCCGGAGACCGAAGCAGGCGGCTTGGAAGGGGTGAGTGTCAAATGTGGACGACTCTGGTTGGGGTCCCCGTGCTGGGTCGCTGGGCCTGCGGTCTTTGGGGACGGGGGGGCGGCAACCCAGACCTGGAGGGAATACGGAGCCTGGTCCCGGCCCGCCGCTTCCGTTCTTCCTGGGAGTCCTCGAGCCTGTCGCTGCCTCTCTCTGACCCCAGTCTGGCAGAGGGCCGCCCTTGGACGCTCGGGGTTCCCAGCAGTGCAGAAGGGGTGCGGTCTAACGTCCAAGATACCTTGTTTAGTATTTCCTCAGGAAGAACCCAGGCTCGGGGAAGTGATGGCTGGGGGAGAGGGGCGGAGCGCTGAGAGGGCTTGGGGACCCAGTGTGGGATCCACACCCAAGGTTAAGGGCGGCAGGGCTAGCCAGGCAGTAGTGACCCCAGTGCTTTTCTAACGTTTCTTAGCTTCCAAAGCCCAACATATAGAGCTGGTAAAAGCAGAGAAGATCTGGTCAGGTCCTGAGACGCTGAGTCCAGAGCGATGTTGCTGAAGACAGGTACCTACACGGATGGGGGTGGCTTTGGGAGGGTAGGTGACCAGTTGGGGGTGGGAGCTACCTGGAGGAAGTTCCAGTCCTGTGGCGTCTGGGCCTCCTTCCCTGTTGTGGGTATGTGGGGAGACATGTTCCTCTCTTTCTTGGAAGTGGGCCAGGAAAGGAGGAGGTGCTCCCCACCTAGGAATCAGTTCCCCTCCAAAGAGGCCTCTTCCTTGCGCACCCCCTCTACCCCAAAGCACAGAGGCCCTGTCTTACTAACATCAACATGTAATAAGAACAGCCCTGTAAAGTCAGTACAGTGATTCCATCTTGCAGATAAAGAAACTGAGGCCCTAGAGGGAAAGTGAGCTGGCTGGGTGCAGGTCCAACCGGCTGGCCTCTTAAGCCCTTCTGAAGCCTCTTGGGTGTCTTTGGAGAACAAAGAGCCCTGGATGGGACTCAGGAGACCTGGAGCCTGGCCACACTGTACTGTCAAGTTCTGTGTGAATGGAGTGGGGGGAGCTGGTCAGGGTGTAGAAGGGACCAGGTGTTAGTTTTTGATAATTCCAGCACTGCTGTGGTAACAGCAAAGTGGGAATCCGGGCCTCAAACACGTTGCCCCACCCCAGGCACTGTCTGCCCACTCACAGCACTTCTGGAGCCAGGAGTTGCAGGAAGAGCCCATTCCACCTTAAGCGCGAGAGTCATTCCCCTAATGTGCAGGCCAGCAGCCTCTGCAGGGCTGGGCAGCATGTGAATGGGGTGGGGTGAGGGCTGGAGCTATAGGAGCCACTCACAGTTATCCTTCCAACCCCCTGCAGTGCTCTTCCTGGCCTTGGTGGCCCAGGTGCTGGTTCTGGAGAACGGGCTCCTGCGGAAGCCACCCATGGGCTGGCTGGCCTGGGAACGCTTCCGCTGCAACACTGACTGTAACGAGGACCCAAAGAACTGCATCAGGTGAGTAAGGTCTGCACCACCCAACAGGCTTGCCTAGGGCACTCACAGAGTGGGAGCAGCGAGTGGGGGTCAGCTAGGAAAGAGGGCAGGGTTAGAGACCCCCATTCCAGAGAGAAAGCAACCAGAGGTGACTTTTGAGACCTCTGACACTCAGCTTCTTGACCAGCTTGGGGCCTCAGGCCTGTGGGGCAGGGGCCCTGTGGTGGACGCAGCCCCTGAGATAACGGAAAGGAGGTAACAGTTAAGGGCCAGGCCAGACCCTGCGTGCTTCCCACTGGCCTGGTCCTGCTTCTTGGCTTGGGGGCCACGTCACTCCTCTTGCTCCACCCTGCTCATGGCTCATGACATAATCCTTGGTACCCCTCACACCTGTTACCTGGCTTAGTCTTCGGCTGACAGCAAGGCCATGGTATTTGTAGGTTGGATTCACACTCAGAGCATCTAAGAAGTTTGAAAAGCTCTGAGGAAGGGGGTTGGGGTTAAGGTTAGGCCCGTGCTGGGCCACTGAGCAGCCCTGTCTCCTACCCCTCGCCAGTGAGCGGCTCTTCATGGAGATGGCTGACCGGCTGGCACAGGATGGATGGCGGGACCTGGGCTACGAATACCTTAACATCGATGACTGCTGGATTGGTGGACGTGATGCCAAAGGCGACCTGGTGCCTGATCCCAAGCGCTTCCCCAACGGCATGGCCTTCCTGGCTGACTACGTGAGCCCCACCCCAGCCCTGCCCCTTGGCCTGTGGGCCAGGCCCCTCTTTACCCCATCCTACTTAGGGCTCATTTCTATAATCCCTGCTTGAGAACTCACAGTCTAGTGGAGGAAATAGATACATGGACAGGTGGTTTTGACCCACTGTAGTGGATGAGAGCAAGGAAGGACATCTTATTCAGCCTGGGATTTCAGGAAGGTTCTCCGGAGGAAGCAGTTCTTGAGCTGATACTGGAGAGAGGGCATTCAAGGCAGAGGGAATGGCAGAAGCAAATGCCTAGAGGCCAGAAACAGCCCATGCAAGGTGTGTGTGTTGGAGGGAGGGGAAGTACCGTGGTTGGCAGAGGCCAGGCCAGCAAGCTGAGACCCTTTCCTTTGGGCTTCAGGAAGTCATTGAAGGTTTTTATTTATTTATTTATTTATTCATTATATATTTTAATTAATTAATTTATTTTTGGCTGCATTGGGTCTTCGTTGCTGTGCACAGGCTTTCTCTAGTTGCGGTGAGCGGGGGCTACTCTTTGTTGGGTGTGCAGGCTTCTCATCGTGGTGGCTTCTCTTGTTGCAGAGCACGGGCTCTAGGCTCGTGAGCTTCAGTAGTTGTGGCATGCGGGCTCAGTAGTTGTGGCGCACGGGCTTAGTTGCTCCGTGGCATGTGGGATCTTCCCGGACCAAGGCTTGAACCCATGTCCCCTGCATTGGCAGGCAGATTCTTAACCACTGCGTCACCAGGGAAGTCCCATCATTGAAAGTTTTAATGGGGCCTGCTCAGATGTGCCTGGGCGGCGGCTCCTTGAGGTCCTGCCTGAGCCCAGTGTGTTCTCAACCCCCCACAGGCTCATTCCCTGGGCCTGAAGCTGGGCATCTACGAGGACATGGGCAACTTCACCTGCATGGGTTACCCAGGCACCACGCTAGACAAGGTGGTCCAGGATGCTCAAACCTTCGCCAAGTGGAAGGTGGACATGCTGAAGCTGGATGGCTGCTTCTCAACCCCCGAGGAACGGGCCGAGGGTGGGTCCCGCAGCTGGCTGGGGGCCATTAGGTAGACAGGGAGGGGTGGCCATGGAAGGCCCCGCAGTGCCCATCTGTCTGTATGGCCCCTACGGGGTAGCGTTTCCCAATTCCCCTCACCCAGGGCCTAAGGAGATCTTGGCTCCCAGGCTCCCTAAAGATGGGTTGGTACCATGCCTTACCTGGGAAATGTTTGCAGCTCTGGGTACAGGGGAAGCACCTCCTTGAACCGTAGTTTCCTCCCATTTGGTGGGAGGTTTGGGCTGAGGCCCCAGATTTCATCTTGTGTCTCTTCATCCTAAAATGTGAGGGTTGGACTTCTCCAGGGTACCCCAAGATGGCTGCTGCCCTGAATGCCACAGGCCGCCCCATCGCCTTCTCCTGCAGTTGGCCAGCCTATGAAGGGGGCCTTCCCCCAAAGGTAAGCCATTCTGTGCACCCACCTGGCAACGCTCCTCATACCCAAGCCTCCTTGCCTTCTATGCAGTCAGGGCTTCTCTCATCATAGTTGCTCACATGCTGATTTGTAGGTCTAGGAAAGGGCCATAAGTACCTGAGGGGGCCTGAGCCAGCCCAGGGTCTTAGAGGAGACCCTTGTCAGGTGGGCTGCAGGGATGGGTATCCAAGGCATGGGAACCATATGTTATGTGCTGACACAGCACCCAACAAGCAGTCAGAATCCTGGGTTTTGCCGAGTGGGCTAGGAGATCCAGAAGGCTGGTGAGGTCAGGAAGGTGGGGCCTGGCCTCTGAAAGGCCTTGTGGGCATCTCACCAGGGACCCTTCAGCATGTAGGGTGCTAGAAAGGGTGGAATCAGACTTGCAGACTGGAGGGAGAACCCTGGCAGAGGGTGGGGCTCACTGAGAGAACATGGGGCTGAGGGTGTGGTAGGGAAGGTTATGGGTACACCAGCCTGGGTCCCTACCCTGGGCTTGGCCCCAGCTAGTGTGAGAGGGAGGGGTCGGCTCCTGGCAGCAGCGCACATGGAAGAGAGGCCAGGCAGCCCCAGAGCAGGGCCACTCCCTCCGAGGCCTTCCTCATCCTGAACACGCTCCAGGTCTGTTCTCTTCCCCCTTCCCTACCCTCTATATCTCCTGCTGAGACTCCCCAACCCCTGTGCAGGGCTCCAGGCAGCAGAGTGTGACTCTGGTGTTGGACTCTGCCTTCCCCCCAAATCCAGGTGAACTACACTCTGCTGGCGGACATCTGCAACCTCTGGCGCAACTATGACGACATCCAGGACTCCTGGAGGAGCGTGCTCTCCATCCTGGACTGGTTTGTGACGCACCAGGACATTCTGCAGCCGGTGGCAGGCCCTGGGCACTGGAACGACCCAGACGTGGTACCAGCATGGAGGGGGATGGCCCAAGGCCCACTGTCCTATGCTGTCTTCCTGGATGCTCATTGCCAGGTTCTAGATCAGCATATCAGAAACCAGCCATGCTGGACTTGCCTTGGGCACTTACAATTCTGTTCCCAGGGCCCCACCCCACCTCTTGGATCAGAATGTTCAGAGAGGGCCTGGGAATGCCCATTGTTAAGTCTTCCCAGGTGGTTCTGGTGTGTCTTGAAACTTGAGAAGTTGATCTATAGTGACTCTTGTGTAAGACATTATTCCTCCGTAGGGTGAAGATGACAGTCCACACTCTCTTGCCACCCCTCCCTAGACTCTTTGCCTGGTCTGCCTCTGACCCCTCTCTCAATGCTCTGTAGTGTTACCCTCCGCAGGCAGAACTGGCCTCTCATACCTACCTCACTCATAGCCCTGATCACTTAAATTTCTTTGCAATTTATCTTACAGTTTTATAGCTATCTCTTCATTTAGTCAACGAGTAATTACTGTCATTGATGATTATAATAATTACAAATACTAGGCCAGATGGAGAGGTGCCTGGAGAAACAGAAATTGACCTGCTTTAGAGTTCCAGCTCCAGCTCTGCCACTTACCTTGGGCACATGACTTATTTTTTTCTGTGACTCAGCTTTGTCAATTGGAAAATAGAAATAATAATAGTAGTTGCTATATATATAGGATTGTTTTGAGGGTTAAAAGGATGACCCTTTATTTTTGTTTTATTTTTTTTTAGGCCAGCACATGGCTGATGTTGCAAACAGGACTTAGCTCCCTGGGGTTGGTGGGGAGCTGACCTTCATTGACCTACTAGGCACCAGGCCCAGGGCCAAGTCCTTTTTTAAAAATTATTTTATTTTATTTTTTGGCCATGCCACATGGCATGCGGGATCTTAGTTCCCCGACCAGGGATCAAACCCACTCCCCCTGCAGTGGGAGTGAGGAGTCCTAACTGCTGGACCACCAGGGAAGTCCCCAAAAGGATGACCCTTTAAATGCTTGTAATGGTTTGGCACATATACAGTGCTTAGTTAAATTGGTGTCACTAAGTACACAACAGTGTTGAGTTAGCAGTAATCATTTGTGTACTGTTGGTGTATTGGTTGCCCTGAGGACAGGAGTGCCCGTTGGTGTAGTCAGCTGTCGTTAGGGCAGGTGGGTGGCTACTGGCAGGAGCAGAGACTCTGTCCAGGTCTGGTTTACTACCATCCTGGCTGTATTTCTTGACTTGCATATTCCAGTTTATAAACGCTTTTGGCAACATGATCCATTGGATCCTCTGAACAGCCTGTGACATGGTCAGAGCATATTATCACCCCCATATTCTTGATGGAAGAAAAAACCTGAGGCTCTGAAAAGTGACTTGACCCACCCCAAGGCCACGCTGCTGGGGAATGGTGTTTGCAGAACCAGAGCCCACACCTGGCCGTCCTCCCCCATCTCTGTCTTCTTTTGCTACAAGTTTAGGGTTGGTCCCCACGCCCACCACCCTGAAGAGGGCAGAGCTGAGCAATCCTCTTTTCTGCCCCCAGTTGCTCATTGGGAACTTTGGCCTCAGCTTCGAGCAAGCCCGGGCCCAGATGGCCCTGTGGACGGTGCTGGCGGCCCCCCTCTTCATGTCCACGGACCTGCGTACCATCTCCGCTCAGAACATGGACATTCTGCAGAATCCACTCATGATCAAAATCAACCAGGATCCCTTAGGAATCCAAGGACGCAGGATTCTCAAGGTACTGGGCGTGTGGGAGCAAGGAAGGGAGGCTGAAAGATGGGGCTTCACTGGAAACAAGTCTGCAGGCCAGAGGTTCAGGGGTCGGGACTGGGCCTCTGAAATCCACTCAATCCCTCCTAGTTGCATTCAGTCGAAGTCTCTACTGGGAGCTGCTTCGACTGTCCCTCACTTGCCTGGGTAAGAGCAGGGCCAGAGCAGGACAGCCCGTGGGATCTGGGGAATGGAGACATCACCACACGTGCACACGGGATCAGTGTGGCCCTTTGGTTTGGAACTACAAAACTTCTGCACAAGTCTGTGATGGCTGGCAGAGAAACAGGGCTTGCCTTCAGAGTTTAGGAGTTGTTTGAGCCATGGAGTACAACTACTCCTAGTACTAGTGTAGACTAGTTGTTGAGCACCTACTGTGTGCTAGACATTCTAGATACATTTTCTTAGAAGGTCGATGCTCCTTCCCTGTTTTACAAATGAGGAAACAGACTTGAAGAGTCTCAGTAACTTTATACCAAAGGCCACACAGTTGGTAAGAGGTACAACAGGACTAGATGCCGATAGTGTCACCTCAGAGCTTGTGCTCGTTGCTCAGATCCTTGCCTCTCTAGTGAAAGGAAATCTACACCAATATAGAAAGCACCTGCT